GCCATTCTATGGGCTACCACGTTTATAGCTATGCTAAGAGTTCTTCCATCAATAAATGCAAAATGAATTAGGCATGCGCGAAAAGAAATGAGTGTAATGGGTGCGGAAAGCATAATCTCGCATTCCGACATAATGCGCGGGATATAAGTTTCCCGCGATGTCGTCAATGTGTTAATTGGGCCATGCCGTGCTCCCTTCTCTACCAAGAAACGTTGACCAAAGCGCTCAATTTTCGTAATAAAATTTGCATACCGAAATGCGGTAAGAAAGAGGCTTTTTGTCTTGTTCTTGTCATTTTTCAAGTAACTGTTTCAGCGAGAAGACCTTGATAAGCAGGGATATAGCTTCCTCACAACCAAGCAGTTAGATGTAGTCTACGGGCCGAACTCACCGTATAATAAGTCAGATACACACCAACGACTCCACAAACTTCTTCGGATGCACGACGATCCACACCACCTCATTGAAAAAGAGTACGTCTATGAGTTTATGATATAGTTTTCTTGTCCACAACCAACAAAGGCATTATTGAGGATGTTGTAACTATGTTATTGTTATTCCTTGGGTACCAACCCGAAATGTTTTTCAATTTAGCATTCGTTTGATGGCGGAAGCAAAGAAATTTCAAGTACGTAAGAGAGACGTTGTGTTGTCGCCGATTATACTGACGTGGCTCACATTTCAAAGTGCAACATTATCCAATGCTTGGGTCGTGCTCTCACCACTCGTGCTCTCACCTATCACACTCTCACCTGCCGTGCTCGGTCCGATTATTCTCTCACCTTGGGTGTTCGTCCCGTTGGTGCTCTCACCTCGTGTCTTGTCGCCGCTGATTGTCAATCCGCTGGTGTTCTCACCAATTGTCCTCTCACCACTAGTGCTCCATCCGCTGATTCTCGTTCCTGGTGTGTTCAATCCAATCGTTCTTTCACCGCTTGTACTTTCGCCACTCATTCTTTCGCCTCAGGTTTTCACTCCTATTATCCTCTCACCTCTGGTACTTAACCCTCTCATTTATAACCCTATGGCTGGATCACCTTTAGTGCTATCACCGTTCGTTCTCTCGCCAATCATTTGTTCTCCACAGTACCTCTTCGCTGTAGTACTTTCTCCATATGCGCTTTCACCGCTCATTCAGTCCAAACTCATTGCATCGGAAGTCGTCATGTCACCTAGTTGGCTTTCGTAAGCCTCCACGAGGTTTCTAATAGTTCCTTTTTCCAAATCTAGTTTGCAGTACATTTGAAAGAAGCCGACGATCATGTTACAAAGTCGGTACTGACCAAAAATTGGTTGTATGGTAAATTTCCTATTGTTATGAGGTGGTATATGTAGAACGATTTCCCTTTCGCCGGAAACTCGTCACTAGTGGTTCTTGTGGATTCTCGTTGTCTTATTTGTTAGTTATATTTTGTGAGTCTTCATATTTTACACTGCCAAAAATTGTGCAATCATTTCGCTTGATATAATCTGCTAGACCTTCAGTTCTCTTTCGGCGTTACTTTCAATGTGTCTTTCTTCGTTTTCTCCTACGTGTCTGTATATAATAATTGTGGAAATGTGGAAGAGGATTAGTTGTGCATAATGCTTCGAATAAATGACTGAAATATATCTGACTTGTTTTCTTTATTCTCTAGGCTCCTTGCTAAACCAAGGCTTATAAATAATTGATTTTGTACACCTTTTAGAGGCTTTTAGACCTTTTTTTCCGAAAAGTATAGGATGTCATGTTTTGTGTGTAAAAGCTAAGAAAGAGACTCGATCAGGAAAGCGACTTCACATAAAGATAGGGTTAAGCCATTTGATCACTTGTGCAGAATGTGCTTGAATTTGACGACTCTGCTTTGAGAGAGGCCTTCTGACGTCCAACGACAAAATCAGCAGTGCGCAGGTTGCCAACCTCCTTTGAAGCGCTAACTTCAGAGCACCCACCAAGCTGGAGAAGTTTTATGGGGTCATGCTCTAAAATATCCTTACACAGAACAGTCCATCGGTTCAAGGACCTTAGAGGAAGAAGGTCAATATTCTTTGCGGCTTGCGCGCAGTGCCGGAAGACAGCGCCCAGGATGGCTTCCGTCGATTTGAACGCGTATTAGGGAGCCCAGCTTCATTGAAGAGCAAACGATCACTGAGTAAAATGCTCCTAAATCCAGAACAACATACCGTACCTTACCAAAGTCATTTGCAAGATCTTCGACTAAATTTTTGACATTTGAGGGTGATGAACTCTATTAGAGCTGCACCTTTCGATGATACACCATCACAAACTACCACATGTTCGGGAGAAATTCTGTTGGAAACTAGACGTTATCTCGGAGACCTGCTCTCGCATTTCGGCAACAACTGCCTCTGATTCTGGTGGTCGTAAAGAATTTAGTTTTTTCTTTCTCATCAACCCAATCCGTAGAGGGACCTCGAGCTCGTGCAGAAACTTTTTGCATTTTATCAGTTGAATCTATTCGGGTTGCTCCAATAAACCAGCATAGAAAGAGTCGGTAACCTCTTCAAATAATGATTGCTTCCCAAGATTTTCTGGAAGGAGTGACGGCAGATCCTGAGATCAAAAGCGATGTGCTTCATCGTTGTGAGCCATCCTCTTCTAGGTGATTGCCCCAATCCTCTGAGTGTGCACAGTTCTTGAACTTCCACTTTTCGCAATCCCAGAGACGTGTGCTTGAACCTTGAGAGCACCGAACATCTTATCAGCCATTATCAGTTGCTATCGCTTCCAATCATGTACCACCAATGTCCCGGGACCGCCCCACATAACACTTGTAAGTATAGACGCTCTAGTACCAATATGAACGACAAAACGAAATTGGCGATGCTCGCTTTCTAGCCCCTCTTATCAGCTATTATCAGTCGTTATCAGTTCCTATCACGTACCACTTGTGTCCCCATCCCACCCCCTATAACATATGTAAGAACCATGGCGCTATCGTTACTGTGACTCGAGCTATGAATTTCGTGTCAAACACACACACACACCACACACACACAGACATACTTAGCGAATTATATATAGTAGGATAAGATGTTCTTGAAGCTCTTGGTCTTATATTTATTGGTGAGCTTTCGGCAATAATGCCATCATCAGACCAACCTTAAAATTACAATAATTACAAATCAACAACTACAAGACAAAGGACATGTTGCATCGACACATACCAGAAAGGAGACGGCGGCGGCGGGGTGGCTCGGGAATGAAAATGAGACGCCAATCCTGAGGGAAAGGAGCTCACTGATCATGCCAAAAGCCTCAGAAGGTCACGTAGCTCTTCTTTCGCATTTATTTCTGGCTTGATGCGGTATATCTCCCGCGCTTCCATGATCTTTCTCTCCAGGGGCCGTATCATATGTCTGTGAAGAACGCTCACGTCAAAGGACGGAGCCTAGAGAAGTCCCATTCCTTGTGAATGGGAGAAAGACAAGCAATTGCAGGCCAAAGCGAAAGAGAAATGCGAGAAATGGGTCAATCTTGAATGATAGGAAATTATGTGTTGTATCCAGGTAGTTCTTTGTCAAAAGATCAGAATGGTAGATATTGTGAAGCATTGACTCCGTTCAATGGCTCTGTCAGCAGATGCTCACTGTTTTGAAACTTTGTGCACTTCTCCAGAAGACATTCGCTCCATTGTGGTGTGCCTTATTAGTGAGTGCGTGAGTAATAATCTGTTTTGCAGTTTGCTGTCTGATTTTTGTATGCCTACCCGTTGTTGGCTATCAGACCCTAGAGTACATGAAAAATGGAAATACGGATATTAACCCCGCTGTACGGTTAGCGAGCGAACTTGAAGCGATCTGTATAAGTGTACGGGTGCTAATGAATATTGATAGTTCACTCTCCACCATAAGCATACTCAAATTCGTTTCAAACATCTGTGGAAATACGACA